GTACTTGTGTTTTCCCCCGTCACACGCAGTTAGCGGCCCCATCGCTCAAGCCGCACTGGGTGTCGCCTCTCATATCTCCCTCATTATTCAGACGCGTCGGTCGAAAGACGCCGCGCTCGGCCGACTGCCGCCGCCGCCGCCGCCGCCGCCGCCGCCGCCGCCGTCGCCGGCCGCCCGCCTGCCGGCGGTTCGGGCGCTGGGGGACGGGCCGGCGCTGTCCGCGATCACTGACGTTTCAGGCGCGCCGATATCGCGCCTCCCCAACGATCGCCCGCCGGCCAACCGCGCGCCGCGCCGGCCGAAACTGGCCTCAGGCGAGGGGCGTGGGCTGACGGGCCGGGCGCGGCTTTCGGCTTCCGACCGTCCTCTGGAGCAGACGCCCCACTGAAGCAGACAGGTTCGGTGCAGCGCCTTGCGCAAAGAAGATCCTGTGCGCCGTGCGGACAGTTGGCCGCTATGTCGACTGCCAGGAGTCATTTTCCTCTGAACGGCGGGGCCGGTCGACGGCACCGTCCTCTTCAAGGGAGACTCTGTGGGAGGTGCCGTCCCCTACCGGGCAGGGCCAGCCTGACGCAGCCGGCGCCGGCCTCCACAGCGTGAAGCAATCGGCGCCAGTGGCATTCGCCGCGCCTCCTTTGTTCCCGGCAAAAGTCAATACAGGCTAAACACGGGGACGACGCGGACCGGCGAGCTGCTAAACGGATTACGGCCCCGCTGGGAGGCAGCAATTGGGCGATGGCGGCTGAACACCAACGGACCGGGCGGGCCGCACGGACCCGGCCAACATCCAGAGAAGGCACCGCACGGACCCGGCCAGCATCCAGGACGGGGAGCGCACGGAGCTGGGCAATATCCAGGACAGGGAAGCGCACGGACCTGGGCAACATCCAGGACAGGGGATCCCACGGACCTGGGCGATATTCAGGACAGGGACAGCACGGACTTGGACAACATCCAGGACAGGGGACCGCACCAGCGTCCGGGACAGGGGATCACACCACGCCCAGAGCAGGGGACCACACCAGCGTCCAGAGCAGGAGACCACACCGCAGTGTCCAGATGAACGTTGGGCGACCACAGCAGGCATTCAGATGAATGACAAAACACACGAATCGAAATGGCGCTAAAATAAATAGTTGTGTACTACACAGCGTTAAACATACTCAAAATAAGAGCATTTTCTCATCTGTAGAGCGTTGAAGATGCTAACCCTCCACGTCCGCATCAAATAATAGCCCTGCCAGGTTCTTCTCAGTAGCCATTTTCAGGGCTGATACTTGGCAAAAATGACGTCGTTCAGACGACGAGAACACATTTATTTAAGTGAGGTCGGCCAGACCGACGAAAGGGGCATGGAAGGCCCCTCTTGTCCACGACTAGAAAGTTACCTGTGTTCCCAAGGTTTCACAATAGAAACAAGCCAATCCAACTGAGGTACACAATTCACCAGTGCCACAAACCAGCGGAAAAGTAAAAGTATGCGGGTGGATATTACGCTGATCGTGAGGGTGGGAGAAACTCTTGAGGTATTGAGCGATTGCTAACTATATTTAGGTATGATGCTGATAAGTAGCGCGCAACAGAGAAACGAGCAAAAATAACGCAACAGCTCGCGCCCAATTAAGAACAACGTGTAGTCGACACAACAGACAGTGCAGGCGTATATGTGATAGAATGGTCAAGAGATAACCGATACACAACGTTACTTTTAGAATCATCTTTTGGACATGACAAGTCATCTTTTCCCGTGGGCCTCTCCAACATCACATGAATGAATGAGCACAGCAGGCATGATGCATGATCTCCAGAACGCACGGCTCATCTGAAGCATTATTCTCATCTCATAAATTATTGTACGGTAAATTGATCGCGCTGGCGCTGGGAGGCCGCCGTCAGGACGGGAGGGGACCGGATAACATCCGACGGTGGCTTGTCTCATCGGAACCCAATTACGTCGATTACATAGGGCCAGAGCAGGAGGGGATCGACCCGCGCGGGGCTTAATTAAAAATTTATGCGGCGCCGCCACCGTAAAATGTTATGCTGAATGGGCGTGAGAGGACGTGACCGCAACTGCCGCGCGCTTTTGGCGCGGGGCCGATTGCTATGCGGCCAGCGCGCCCCTAGAGACCGGCAAGGTTCCACCGTGAGCTGCGTTTTCATCTCGAACTCCGACCCTCCGGCGCACGCGGCCTGCTGCGACGGCCGAGCCGCTCTCCGCCGCGGGTCGCGCGGGTGCCGTTCATCATAAGAGCCAGGTCGTTTAGCGCCCAATCTGGAGAAACTTTAAGTCGAGAATCTCTCACGTTGGTCTGCCGCGGCGGCGGGTAAGCCGGGCGGAAAGAGAGGGCCTGGTGCTAAGCGCTTGCGCCGTCCCCCGCAGTCATGCTCCCCGGCCCGACTCTGCCGAAGCGCTGCAGACACCGCCGGTCTCTCCCCGGCGTCGGCGGCCGTCCCTCCGCGGCGCGCCGGCCCCGCGGCCGCTCCCCGCGCCGTAATCGCTGGTTGACGGAGTGCAGAAGGCGCGGCTGGGCGCGCCTGGTGCGCCGGCGGCGGCGGCGGCGCCACAACAATGGCCGGCCACCTGCTCCGGCCGCGCCGCGCCTGGAAACGCGGGGGCGCGCCGCCCGCCCGCCCGCCCGGGGACCGACCCGCCGCTTCGGGCCGGCTGGCGGTGGGAACGGCGAGGACCGTGGGAGCCGCGGGCGAGCCGGCGGCCGCCCGACTGACGAGGTCGCCGGCGGTGCAAGCTGGCCGCGGCCGGGACGGCATCGCAACTCGTCCTCCGCCAGCCGCCGGTTCCTGCTGACTCGCGGAGGGGCAGAGTCGGCTGCGGAGGGCGTCACAAGACTCTCTCCCGACCGTCATCCGCCTGACCGCCGGCCAGCGCTTGTAATGGCCCGGCGACGGCCGGGGGCTAGCCGGCTCTCCTGGCGTTCCGCTGGTGGTCGGCCGCGAGCGGCAATCAGATAAAAACACGAACAGAGGCTCCAGCGGCCCTCAGGCTCTGGGGAACATCATGTCAGGCATGCATCACGGACAAGCCTGTGTTTTACATTCCGAGTGGAGCCGGTGGCGACTTCGGAATCAATGAAATTTTCGGTCGTCGCTAAGGAATGAATTGCTTATAAATTCATGTCAATCAAAGTTAAGTGAGCCTGACCAATTTAAATCATTGATGAGCCGTCTCAAAACTAAAGTCAGGTAGCAAAGTTGATATTGTTCTGACGGGTATTTTATATATATATATATATATATATATATATATATATATATATATATATATATATATATATATATGTATAAAATGGAGCAAATTGATTGCACTAGAACATAAACAACTTAAAATCAGGTCGCGACGTCCTCAGGCGCTCTGAGGCATCTGCCGCCATGCCCATGTCGTCACTCCGTGCTGCCATCATATGCGCAACAATATTCAGTTACATCACATCGGATGTCCGTCCTCGACGTCGAGGCTGTGGCCGCGTTTGGCCGAGGGCACCTCACGGGCGATGCCCCCGCCCGCATCGGCGGCGATCATTTGTCTCGGCCGGCGTGCCCACGGCCGGCTGGTGATGGGGGCCAGTGTCCTGACCAGCGGCGGCCGAGGGGACGGGGCAGCGCCACTCCGATCCGGCACTGGGCCGGGCCGCTGCCAGGGCCGGACAAACGAACCCTCATGTCCGGATGGACAGCATGTCAGTACAGTTAGAACGCGTATTACTTCAACGGGATTGCGTGGTCGACAAACGGAAGCGATCTCTTTGGGACCATGACGCTCTGTTCTAACTTCATATAAAACAAAGCACTGCGTTAAGCATCGATTGGGTCTTTTGTTTGTCTAAGCAATGGATTAACTTTTTATCACCTTTATCCTACCCGCGAACCGCGATGTTGTCCCAAAAAATCGACGGTCGAAATAGTTACATCTCCGATTTTTCGTATTAACCCAATCGCGTTTGTCTTGTTTGTAGGTCGCATCCTTTTTTCAAAGCAGTCGACGTCCAAACTGTGTATGTGGCGTCATTGGGACTCTTGCACCAAGATGAACACTGGCGGCTGTGCTGTTTGATGCACAAGGACGCCGCGAGACAGCTGCGACTGCCCAAAAAGACCCTCCAGCACCAACAAATATCATGATCCAGATCTAGCACAACAGCAAGTTTCTGGCATTCGTGCCGTTCGGCATATGGTTCTGATTGCGTTGGGATTGTCGAGATATTCTTTACATACGTTACAAAACAAGACAAAACAAAACCGCATGCCACTCTCCGTCGGTCGTCGATGTCTGGTGAGGGATGATGCGCAGCTGGGGGGAGAAGCCCTGTACGACACTTGGTCGCGGGGGGGGGGGGGAAGGCGAGGGGTGGGACGGAGTAGAGCGGCAGGGGCAGGGGGGCGCGCGGGGTCAGGGGACGTCACCGGGCCGGCGGTGCGCTGGCGCGGAGGGAAGTCCCAGGTTCGCCCGGGGCCGCACGTAACTCGGTTATCCGGTCCGCTCGTTAGGTGAGCAAACAGACGCGTGATTGGCGCGCGGCGCGCCGCACGGCTCGACCAATCAGCAGAGCCGGTGGGCGCGCGCGTTTATTGACGCGCGATCGCTGCAGGCTCGCACACTGCCGCCAAACTCCTGACCGGGCGGTCTCACAGGCGCACACACGGACCCACCGACAGCAGGGGGTCCCACAGGCCCCGGCACGGCCCCCGCGGACAGCACCAGACTGGATCAGCTCTCACATTGGCACACGCTCCGAGGCCGCGCGACCGTGCCTGGAGCGGGGCTCGCATTCTCAATCACACGGACTCCCGACTTCGCACGACGCGCCGGCAACGCAATCTTCAGACGCCCGCAACCGCAGCTGCTCAGGTGGAAGGCTACCTGACCCGGACAAGCCGAGGCACGGCAAGTTCAGGCTCAGCTGACGGCGGCAGGGGCAGCCACAGCTCATGATCAGGCTTCAGGCACTGTCTTGTACGCAGCATTGTTCAACGGTTAAAAAGGGCACATTGTCGTCCGTATCTAAAACACGCGCACGCCCGATGGCGCCCCACCCAGCACCCGGGAAGACCATATGTACAGGACATGTATAAAAATACGAGTCGCGCCGACCTCGTAAATACGGCGAAGGCACAAGACCGTGTCGGAGACAAGGCTGACTGACAACCACTCCTGGGGCTTCAGAGACCGAGTTGAGTGCGGAAGCAAGGACGCTCTGAGTTGGTACGGTGACGCGAATAGAACGACAGCAACAACACGTCGTACCAGATACGGGAAGACTGGAAGTCGTTCTACGGGTGAAATCGCTCGGCAAAGAGGTCCCGCTGTCACCACTGTGATCCTCGAACCACGATCCTCTCCGCGGATTATCATCGCCCTCCTGCAGACAGATCACGAGGCGCCGTCCAGCCCCAGCTTGCCTTTTCGCAGCGGTGGCGAGAAGCGTCCCCGCTGGCCACCGGTAGCCGGATTGGCGGGGCTTTTCTGACGAAAAGCGCCACAATCCACCATCCGGTCAGGCGCCGACCGAAACCCAGCTGCTGACGCGACCCGGGCCGACGGCCGGCGGCCAGGGACATCCCGTCATCATACGAGGCCTGACATGTCACCGCTGCGCCGATCACCGAGGCCCGACATGTCATTGCTGCGCCGATCACCGAGGCCCGACATGCCATCGTTGCGCCGATCACCGAGGCCCAACATGTCTCCGCTGTGCCGATCACGGAGGCCCGACAAGCGACCGCTGCGCCGATCACCACCCGCCGTGTTCAGAGCCGACCTCAGACGGGCGCTCCAGCCCACCTCCGGCGGATACCAGGCGCTGCCCACCAGGCAGCCGAGGCGGACGGGCTCGGCGCCGGTCCCAGCAACAAAACCTCGGGAATCGGGCACCACTGGTGCCCCAACACCGGCGCGCGGATTAGCCAGCACCGTTGCTGGCACACGGCCCAAGCACCATCTCTAGACGCTCAAGGCACGCGACTCGATCTGTCATCGAGTGTCGGCAGTGTGCGAGGAACGACCATCGATTCGTGACGTCACTGGCTCCGATTGCAACATGTTATTTGACGGCAACGGCTCCCACCATGCCGAAATCTGGCGTCACTGGTTCTCGTCATACGCGCCACCTGGTGCCACTGGTGCCAGACGCACCGAACCATCAGACGCCACTGGCGACTATAACATGTCACCCAGGTCACGCGATCGCGACGTGGCATCCGAGGCACTGCTGCCGACCATGACGCGACAGATGACGTCACTGGTGTCCCGCACGCCGCGCGGCTAAACGTCGCTGGTGCGCAGTTCGACCAGCGACATCTCCAGCGGGTTCTGCAACAGAGGGGACCGCGTCAGGCAGCCCGAGCGGCGCCGCCGATCAAGCGGCAGAGTCGGCCGCTGTCGTCGCACGGGGCGTACCACACGCGGCCGCCCGCGCCCCCGGAGACAGCGTTAGCGTGTGAGCAGCTTCACAGCAAGAACGCCACCACTTCATGCGCGGTTATAGAATGAGCTCACCGCAGTCGTTATCAGCGGCATGCTCGGCGATTGCTGAAGATCAGGTAAAAATACACAGATGACTGGATAATTACTTGAAATGCGCCATCATATGCCTAAAAATACGTTTCAGTGCCCAAGCACTCTGCTTTGCGAAAGAACAATGTTGTCAGTACTAGAAGCATTTTAAATATCTTACACGGAGGAAATAAATTACACCACTTCAGAAAATATACATGCTTGTTTGGCTGTAATTTGATAAGACATTGAAATATGTACCTAATGCATAAACGCGACGGAAAGATGTGAGAAATGCAAGTGACACCAGCCTAGCAGATAGTTACAACGCATTCTTCACAGAATATGGCGTCAAAGCTCTTGCAAGGCATAATAAAGACTGGGGCTAAACGCATTCTAACTGGTGGCTACTACTACCACTTCTACTACTCAGCTTCTGGTAGCATGTGCTTCGATCAGCTTCTAACCTTTACCAAAAAGCTGACCAATGTGTCCCAAGAAAGCTGCTCGGATGCCCACTGCAAGATCTACCGTCGTGCACACACTCGCTAACGTGTCGCCGCGCCTTCCACCACGAGGGGACAATCATGCGAAACCAGCTAGTCCGCCACCCACACCCATCGCTGTCCTCGCTACGCCCAGCGGACAGCCGACAACAGTGCGGCAGTGATCGACGGTGGGCGAGGACAGCCCAGGTCACCGGTGCTGGCCATGCCCGTGGGGTGACAGCGTGTGCTCGGGATCGGACAGGGTGTGTCTGCAGTCATCCAACTCACGTATGCCCAAACGCCAGGTCAAAATGTTGAGTGGCATATGTGACATCTTAAAGTGTGATGCACATAACAGCCATCCAAAAACCGGATCCAGCCCAGATCCATGAGCGTCCAAACCACGTCGTACTATCAGAAAGATGGGAACTGGATTGTACACATATAGGGTGTACTAGCCGCATGAATCCTTACTTCGTGTAGCCTAGCGATGTGCAGCGTGCAATGTGGAAGCAAAGCCATAAGCGCTTCCAAACGTTTTAAACTGCGGCAGAGATTTCTCCATTCTAGCCAAATCGCGCTGGGGATCTTTATCGCGCAATTCAACGTCATGACCGTCCACCCATGGCAAGGATTTCCTTCATTATTGGGGAAACACGATCGCCTTCCCTGAGGCTCGAACCCCTGACCGCAGCCGATCCCGCTCGGTAGTCTAACCTGCCCTCAATCTGACGACGGGAATGACACAGTATCCTCATAGCTTTACCTCAGCCTGAACTACCAGCACAACACTTGCCCCAGCGTGACCCACATGGCATCCTAGTGATCTTGGTGACCCGCTTCAATGGGAGGGAGCGACTGCGGTGCTAATGACTACAGAAGTTGCATGCACTGCAAAACAAACCGCACCAAACCAAGCAAAGGAGACACGCACAGAATGTCCTCCAAACCCTGACCCACAGCAAGACAACGTAACACTCTTGACCATGCCGGAACATCAACAGAAGGCACTCCAGATAGATGGCTGGGGACTATGGACTACCGCACCACGCCAAGCACAAAACACACTCCCCAAGCCACAAACACCGACACTACAGCTCGAACCACACGGTTACCGTTCACGGCTTGGCTCCGACGGGGCCGAAAGATGGCGCTGGCTTCTGCATGGGCACGAAATAGAGCGGCGTCACCGGACCAAGCGAGCTGAGGCCAGCCCGGCGTCCCGGTCCCCACCCGCCAGCACAGTCACTCGGCGCCGGCCTCGGTGCCCAGGTATGGCACAACACCTGAACGGCCGGCGCGTACTGCACCACAGCCAGCTGGGGTTCAACGGTGGGGCTGATTATGGTCACGTCCCTGACGGCTGGATAGCAGCTGGACAATGCTCCCATACTTCCCAAACAGGCCTGTCGCGACACATTTCAGCAGTCTTACACAGCCCGCCGTTCTCCCTACAATGAAAATATACACTGCGATCCACGATCAACAGGGCGGCCAAAGCTAACTCGACCAAGCGCAGTAATGATCCAACTCATCCTCTTCGCAAGACATCACCGGCAGCCTAGCAGCACGTGGCCGGTGACGGCCCGGGCGAAGCGCCCTCCTCAGTGAGTCGGCAGCCGCCGTCAGCGGAGAGCGCGGGACGGGGCGGCGCGCGCGCGCACCCACCTGGCCGCTGGCGATGTCCGGAGACGACAGCGGCGAGCCCTGCACGTCCACCGGGCAGAGGAAGTCGTCGCCGTCCGACTCGGCCTTGCCCTTGCGCCGCTTCAGCGTGAACTGGCCCCGCTTGTGCAGCTGCTCGGCATGGAGATACCGCGTCAGCTCAGCGACCGACCCGCGCACGCCTCTGGCACGCGGGCGACACGGATGGGACCGGTGCGACCAGGAAACAAACGAGTCTCTCGTGCACAACCCGCGCTTTTAACTTAACATCCGGCGCTGGCGCCAGGGTAAGGCCGTGCCTCGATGACCGACAGTTGTGCTCACCTTGACTTTCGAGTCGGTCCGCAGAGGCGTGATGGTCTGGTTGTCTTCGACCTCTCTCTTCTCTCGGAGGATTTCCGAGCCGACCAGATCGTTGAACCTGCCAAGACGCGCTTGCCCGTCAAACACGTCGTCATGGGAGACATGGAACGCGACAGCTCGCAGCCGCTGCGAGATGTGAACAGCGCACTGGAGTAAGAACCAGACTTATATCAATGGACCCGGAACCCTCATCATACAGTAGTCGGAACTGAACGGGATGCTGCATTTGAGGGCAAGGAATCTGACGGACTGAAGTCAAAGCCTCGCAGCTGCAGCGGCGGCCCAATCTGCGCCGTCTTCCTGTGACGAGACAGCCCGCACCGGTGCGGCGCCTTACCTAGTGAACAAGTGTCTCCGAAGCAGCGACTTGTTGGCCGGGATGGACAGCACGGAGGCCATCAGCTCGCCGGTGAACCGGGGCTCGTACACCAGCAGCGCACCGTGCACCCCTGCCGAAGTCAACACGGGCTCACAGCGCGCGGATAGCGAACCGGGGCTACGGACTGCAGAGGGTCACAGCGCCCCGCAGCCGCCAGTGAGACACCGTACACACACAGGCCACCAGACGCCGAGGAGTCCGAGGGGCTCGCGTTGTCCCCGAAACTGACACCAGAGTGGGTACCACGCGCAAACACTTATTACTAGCCAAAGCACACAGACTGCCCCCCCCCCCCCCCCCCCCCCCCCCCACACACACACATTTCGCCCTGCCACACACCCACACAGTGACGAGCAGCACCGCACCAGGTAACCCGTCCGGCTCGGTCCGCCGATGTACGTCCGGCCGGCCGGCCCGCCGGCCGGACGGGCGGGCGGCCGGACGAAGCACACACACCTGAGCCGCGCATGTTGGGCGCGTACTCGGCCAGATCGACCTCGCGTAGCCACTCCATGACGCGGTGGTTGGTCCAGAGCGCCACCTCCTGCGGCGTCGGCTGGCGCGGCTCGTCGGGCGTCGAGCGCCGCCGCAGGCAGGCCGGCGAGAAGCCGTTCAGGCGCAGCACCTGGCGGCGACGGGCGAGCGCGCCCCCTCGTGATCAAGGCTGCGTCACGACAGCACGGCAGGAAGCGAGGGACACACACGCGTGACTATAAGCGGGCGCTTTCGATATCGGCCTTGAAGCGCCTCTCGAGTTGTTGATTAATTAATATAGAAATACTATCCTTCAATGAGTACCAACTCATCCCAGTCACTATCGTCTTCGTTCTAATCATCGATTTGCGTGCAGTTCCATACAAATATAAGCAATAAAATACAAATACAAATACAAATACAAATATAAGTACTTAGTCCCACGATTACCGCATTCGACAGCAGTCCAGCTGCAGCAGGGCATATACCAATGATAAGAGAATGCGACGGAGATCCGAACACGGCGCCACGCACACATCCGTTAGCCAGAGCCTCCACGACAGCGGAGCGGCCAAGCCGGGCACGCTGGGGCCGCTGGGCGTCGGAGGGGGCCGTCCTCAGGGCCTCACCTGGATGCCGCGCTTCAGACTGAGTGCGTGCAGCAGGTTGGTGACCTTGAGCGTCTGCAGGTCCTCCAGCGTCAGCTGGTTCAGCACGCGGCCGTCGACGCGCGCCTCCAGGAAGGCGTCCTTGTACTGGGGCAGGCCGACGTCGTCCAGCCAGCGCATCACAAAGTTGTGGTCGATGTGGCCGGGCGGATCGTCGGTCGCGGAGCCGGCCGCGCTCAGCGCCAGCACCACCTTCTTGCGGTGCAGCGGATGCTGGCGGCGGACGCACGAGGTCAGGGGCACGGACCCCAAACTCAACGCCAGCGCCGTCTATTTACGGCGTGGTGGGTGCTGGCGGCAGACGCGTGTGGACTATCGCACCGTTATGCCTCGCAGGACACTGCGGTGACGCGCGCACGCACGCGCAAGAGGTCAGCAACTGCTGGCCATTAAACACAGTGCGATCTCGTCACATGACAATAACTAAGCAGCAAATGCGACTTTCTGGCGCCTCCGAACCTAACACCCACACATCCAGATAGTGCGAGGAGATCATCCGATCCAGGCCAAATGCTTCAACGCTACATCGTAGGCGATCAGGAGGGCGTCCCCTGCTGGTGACCAGCCCCGAGCCGAGCAGCTGGGCCGGGCTCCGCACTGCCGGCGCGTACCTTGAGGCCGAGCTCCTTCTCCAGCTCGGCGCCGGTGGCGCGCAGCAGGTGGCTGCCAGAGCGGACCCAGCGGCGCACCTCCGCGGTGTAGGCGCTCAGGCCCATCTCGTGGAACCAGCCGACCACCGTGTCCGTGTCCCACTCGGCCAGCGGTCGCCAGACGCGGCTGGGGGCGCAGGCGGACGTGCCGTCACGACCAGCGAACAGTCGCTGGCGGACGGCGGGCGACACCCCGGCGCCACACGGTCACGCGGTGGGCCTGATCAAGGCCGCCCAACCAAGAACGCTGTGCTCCAGTAGTGACGGAAACCAGCTCGCGGCGGCACACTAGCCTTCCAACGGATCTCGAGAACGGAGCCGCATCTCCGCAGCTCTGCGCGCCGTTGGCTCGGCGAATGACACACGGTTCCAGGAGGCCCGCGGTCGACCCGGACCGTAAGCCCCAAGGCACAGACACGCCGACGCCGCGCTCGGCCGCGCTCGGCCGCGCTCGGCCGCCGCCGGCGCAACTCACTCATCGTCGCGCGACCTCTCGCCGCCCCAGCCCAGCCGGGGGCCGGCCGTGGGGCGCGTGCCGCCGCGCCGGAACTCGCCGCCGTCCGGGATCTCCGGCTCCAGGCCGCCCGAGTTGCTGCGCTTCATCCTGCCGGGAGCGGGTGGCGGGAGTGAGGCGCAACGCGCCCGCTACACGGCAGCCGGTTGGCGACGCAGCGACGCTGGTCACGGGCACAGGCCGGGGCGGGGGGAATTGGTCACGGGCACAGGCCGCAGCGGAAGGGGAGGGACCTGGGCACGGGCGTAGGCCGGGGCCGGGGACCTGGTCACGGGCACAGGTCGGGGTGGGAGGACTCGGTCACGGGCGTAGGCCGGGGCAGGGAGGGACCTGGTCATGGGCACAGGTCGGGGTGGGGGACCCGGTCACGGGCGTAGGCCGGGGCGGGGAGGGACCTGGTCACGGGCACAGGTCGGGGTGGGAGGACTCGGTCACGGGCGTAGGCCGGGGCAGGGAGGGACCTGGTCACGGGCACAGGTCGGGGTGGGAGGACTCGGTCACGGGCGTAGGCCGGGGCCGGGGAGGGACCTCGTCACGGGCACAGGTCGGGGTAGGAGGACTCGGTCACGGGCGTAGGCCGGGGCAGGGAAGGACCTGGTCACGGGCAGTCGGGGTGGGGGACTCGGTCACGGGCGTAGGCCGGGGCGGGGAGGGACCGGGTCACGGGCACAGGTCGGGGTAGGAGGACTCGGTCACGGGCGTAGGCCGGGGCCGGGGGCCCGTCATGGGCGTAGGCCATGGTGGGATGACCTCGTCATTCACAGACACACGCCAGGGCGGATGACCTGGTCACTCACAAACACAGGCCGGGGCGGGGGAAGACCTGGCCACGGGCGCAGGTCGGGGCGGCGGCGATGCTGATGGACGTCAACTAACGACGGGGCGTGGGCCGGCGGCCCGCAACACTCGGCGGCGCGTTAAGGGTGGGGTATGGGTGACGCTGCAACCTGGTGCAGAGAAAATATCAGAAGTCTTCATACATGGCGAAAATACGATGACGGTAGAAGGTTTTACGGTAAGTCGGTTACTCCAGCACATGTGAGTTTCCGCCACTTGGATTCAGAGGACGACGGTGGTGGTAGCGGTCTCATGACAAGTCAGTGAGTGGCAGCAGTACTATGCTCCGGCCATATGGGAACAGAGAGCGGGAGGGGGGGGGGGGGGGGGCACGACGGCCGACACCTGTCCAGGCCCGGTCGATAGCGCGAGCCGCCGCAGCGCCGCCGCCGTCAGTCCGCCCGCAGGCTATCAGCGACCCCCAATGTCAGCACATGCGTCTGGTACCCAATCGATGCCCACTCAAACCGGCGGGAAGCCCGAAGCGGAAAGGTCACTGGCGAACGTCACTGGCTGATATGCTGCCGATGCGCTGTTGCCTAGGCTCTAGAACGACCTCCTCCATCGCCAGTAGCATGAACTGTGGAGGAGAGCAGATGCCGGGAGCTAAGTCAGTAATGTCCGATGGCGCGTTACCTTCCGAACAGCTTTTTGAAGCCTTTGTTTTTGTTCTGCGTGCTGGGGGAGTGTGGTCCGCCCGCGACGTCATCGGTGGGACTGTTCGGGATCGGCTGATCGGAGTCGGCTGAAAGCAGAACCGCCGTGAGCGGACAAGCCAACAAAAACATCCGGCCCAGCGGCGACCTACCGCAGGTGATCAGCGCAGCAACAGAGGATGGGGCCACATTACACGAGTTAGAACGCACACCAAAATGCATTTTTTAGCTGGAATTTCGCAACAATGATATACGCGACACGGTGTACATGAAGACCATTTTGCAAATACTGAACGTAAGTCAAAAATGTTTTTGTGAGGCAACTTGCGCGAACAAAACTTGTTACTGAACCAATAGCACTAAAACTACGGCGAAACATACGCTATTTGATGTAATACACACAGGGATGCAAAATAAAGAGTAACATCGTGCAAAATAAGGCGCTAACAGGGATGCAAAACACAGGACAACATCGTGCAAAATAAGGTGTTAGTCAAAACATGCCAATGTGCACAACAAATGCGACAACGATCGCCGTAATTGGATCTTATGCTAACAGCATTCACCGCAGATTTGTGCATTCGTAGCAGAAATATGCAACCTAAACATTTCATCCGTGCCACAACCAATGCGAAAACCATCCACGGGTCTTACGGTCTGCTCACACCGTGCGCTATTAGCTGCAGAATCCGCCGCAGATTTTACAGCCAGTCGGCTGTTGCATACTAGAAGTGTCACATTCCAGCCGGGAAGCTCGCAAATCAGGGGCGACGAGCGCTCAAAAATGGCACCTCTCTAGTCTGCAGCACTTAAGTATGAACGCTTAACAACCGCATCATCTGCTCCGGCTCCCGCGGGATTCGGCTGCTGCGGACTGGAGGTGCACTTTTGAGCCGTTCTTACTCGCGCTTCGAGGGCCTGCGATTTTGAATGTGGCACCTCCGGTCCACAACTGCAGACTGGCAGAGCAGTTTGTGGCGAATTGTGCAGCCAGTCCGCCGGTGTGAACGGACCTGCATACTTACAGCATTCACGCCCGCTGCTGCAATCAATAAAATGCCCAAGGTCGGCATCCAAGCCTGTCTAAAAAGTTCACACACGTTCAAACAAAACAGAGAATCCTCCAGCCTCGTGCGAGAGAGAGTGCAGACTCAGTGCATGTGCAGCTACGCCGGGCCGGCCAGGACGCCGCCCAGCCGTGCCAAGCGAAGAGTCACGCAGTCGGGCCGGCCGGCCGCGCCAGGTCAGTCACAGCTCGGCAGGCCAGCGTCGAGGCGCGCCGCCACCTCCGTCACCTAGATTGGGCGTCGACGAGCTATACTTTCCCGTCACCCGCTCCCAGAGGCGGCGCGTCGGCTGTTTACCGAAGGCGACCGCACGCCGCTGACTGTCGGCGGCGGCCGAGGCGCGCGGCAGGGTGCCGCCCAGCGACTCCACGCGCCGGCGATGCGACGACGGCGGCGTCTGCAGCGACGGGAATGACGTCAGCGGCCACGGAGATGACATCAGAGGCCACGGCTGGCACGATTCGTTACAGTACAGTGCAAAGCGTCTGGGCGGCACCGCACGGGATAACACAAGCCACGTGACCGTAACCGTGCGCAGTCAGGTGTCGGCAATACGTGCGGCGTACAGGCGTGAATAAACGGCATGTTGAAGTTTTGAGACAAGACGTCCACGCCGTCAGTAGCGGAGGCGGGTCGCACCTTTGGTAGCGATCCTTCCCGGCAGGTGGCGGGGTGCATGCCTGTCGGAGACGAGTTGTCCTGTGCCGAGGCGTACCGGCTGCCGTCCGTGGCGCTCGATGACGACTGTCAACCCCCGTGGGTGAAATATTAAATGACTACAAGACACAGGACTACAACTACAGTACTACAACCGTAGGTGAAGCATTACTGGACTACAAACACAAGACTACAACTACAGGACTACAACCGTAGGTGAAGCATTGCAGGATTACAAAACGCAAGACTAAAACTACAGGACTACAACCGTAGGTGAAGTATTACAGGATTACAAAACACAAGACTACAGCTACAGGACTACAACCGTAGGTGAGGTATGACAGGACTACAAAACACAAAATACAACTACAGGACTACAAGGTACGACGAAATCGGTCAGTTCACGCAATTGACACAGCCGATACTGTTTCGTAAGGCCTGCGATGTAGTACATGCTGACAAGGTGTTGGCTGGGGAGCAGATCCATAGAACACCAGCAATTGCAAGCACCAGCAGACGGCTGTTCGATTATTTGCATTACGCGGGGGCCGACCGCAGCCATGAGCGAAATGAAGACATTTGACAGCACACCATCCTCCCCCTGCGGGCAGCGAGCGCAACTGCGTCGGAAACGTCACCCGACACCGCCCTTAATCGCCGCCGTCACGTGACCCACACCGCCCGGACCCAGCTGGTAATCACGCACGTTGAGTCGCTGCGGTGAGTCGAGCATGCTGTGGTTGGGCGTGGAGGTGGCGGCGGGCAGGCTGCCCCGCGGCACCAGCGGCGGCTTGTCGCGGATCCGACCCCGCTCCTCGCTCTGTAACGGCAGATGCCAAAACGACTTGAATTAAAGGCCCTCGGCACCTGGCAGGCTGGCTGAAGAATTCTCCCCAGACTCTGCGATCGCTAGCTGTTGCCGACTGGAGATGCCACCTTTGAGCTTTATTTGCCCACGCTATGTGGGCCTGCGGGCTCACATGTGGCACCTCCAGTCCACGACAGCTGAAACTATGGAATCTGCAGCGGCTTCTCAGCCAGTCCGCAGGGTGTGGGCGGGCTTATACACACAACCATGGACTCCGGACCCGTCCACAACCGAGGACCTAATCCCAGGGCATGGACCGCGGGAAGGGGGAGGGGAAGACTTCACTCAGGTAAACACCCGCCCGCCCGCCCTCACCACAACCCCGCCCAGCCTCCGCTGCCAGACAGGTGGCGCTCCGGCAGCCCAGTGACCAGGTCCAGTCCGCAGCCGCCGCCAGCGCGGCCCGAGCGCAGCAGCAGCGTCCGGCCGGGCGGGGACTGACCGGACGACCGGCCGAGCGAGTACTGACCGGACGACCGGCCGGGCGAGTACTGGCCGGACGACCGGCCGAGCGGGGACTGAGCGGACACCCGGCCGAGCGAGGACTGACCGGACGCCCGGCAAGGCGGCTACTGACCGGCTGGCGGCTGCCCAGCTCGGCTCGTCGCAGCCGGTTCCGCAGCTCGATGTTTTCCCGCTCCAGCGTCTTCTGCTGCAGCGTCAGGTTGGACATCTTGTTCATCACCTCCAGCTTCTGGGTCTCGAACGAGGAGCGGTGCAGCAGCTCCTGCTGCAGGGCCAGGTCCTGGCGGCGGCGGAGCGGGTCAAGGCCGATCACCGACACATGCACAGGCAGGGGACGCCGACACAAGTCTGCTGGTCCACATCCACGATCGCTCCCAATCACGACCTCTACACCCCTCAGGAATGAGGCGGGAACAGGAGCGGGTCGGTGATCGAGGAAGGTCCACAGACAGCCACGCCCCACGACTGGGGCCAGAGCCGAAAAAAGCTAGACTGTCAGGTGTTAATAGACATTTGAACAGGAAGACACAGATAGGACCCAGACTGATGGGGACAACCATCCACCACTCATCAGCTGTTGGCGTGTTCCAGGAGAGAGCGCCAGCGACGGCAGCGTTACCCCACGGCCACCAGTTACCTTCTGCAGCCTGTCCTCGGCCTTGCCGAGCAGCATCTGGCGCGTGCGCAGCTGGTCCTCCAGCTCGGAGATCTTCTCCGTCTGCGCGTCGATCTGTTCGGTGAGCACGGACACCTGCAGCTGCAGGGACGACTTGTCCGACTCGAGCTTCTGCAGCCGCTCATCGTACTCGAGGCCCGGCTGGGGACCGGCCAGCCGGCACAGGTCAGAGGTGTGATGGGCGCGGCGCCGGGTCTCGTGTCATACACGGCGGCCGAACCACGCCGCTCTGTGTGCCATAGCGGCTTACCATAGGCATGAAGACAAACAGGCGCCAGCGGCAAGGAAATTCGATGCGTATTGCTACAAGCCGTTAGCTTCAGAGCAGCGTCGACCAACATATTTTACACGATCGGTTGAAACAACAAAAAAATCACGATGCGTTGTTTAAATGACACTTCACTACTGCAGGTAGATATTGCATGATAATATAAGCTTATAATCGTCGTTTAAATGAGACATTACTAATCTAGGTGGATCTTGCACGATAATATTGAAGAGACATTTCAAGACACGTTTGAGGTAAAAAGATATACTATTGCGTAATACGCCCATATGTATACATATGCACGTATACGTATACATGTAGACTATACACATACCTTTGCGTGACACATAATACAAATTCGTGACACCTGTGTTGTAAGGCATGTGGTGGTATGCGTAACAGCGTGGGGAATAAAATACAAAAAGCGTGCTCATAGCATACATCTGAGTGCGTTTGGTAGGTAGCGTTAAGAAGTGTCTATCTAGGGTGTTTATCCCTAGTGCCTATATCTAAGTGTCTTTCTATCCGGTGTCTATTAAATTAGCCTTGTATATTACTTATGCGACTTTCCTGTTATCTACGATAACCTGGTCATGATGTACCCACGCAGCAAAAATGTCGCACGGTATGGTACGTGAACCCCCCTCCCCCCCCCCCTAGATCCACCAAATTATGCATACACCCAGACAGCTGATCCCACCATTCATCGGAGGCCCAGCTGTCACTGACACAACACTCTACATCACATTGTCTGTGACGGTCGGGCGGCGGGGCGGGAGGCGAGAGTGCTACAGGTGCCGGCCGGCCCTTCCCACCAGCGGCGGCTCCACACCGGCGCCGTTTCACCGGCGGCGGCGCGTGTCGACCTCCCGCCCCGGCACAATGAGGCGAAACGGCTCCACAATGGCGCGGTGGAGCTGTATTGAGCGGCATCGGTATCCACCCGGACCAGACTGCGGCGGCCCGGCACTCGATGACGCCGACGCCGCGCGGAGACTGCCGCCCAACAGCGGTCATACAGTCGACTGGCGTACCCTGGGCTCTACCGTAACAGGCGGCTCACCTGACGCATTGAAGCAATAGGTAGAGATTATCGGCAGCTTCGCTCGTCGCCTTGATTGCCAGCGTCTGTCTTTTCCACCGGGATTGTAAGGAGAGGGATGTGTATGTGGGGGGGGGGGGGGGAGATTACGCTGACATTCTTGCACATGCACCGACTGTTGTAGCCCATTGTTACAGTGGTTACCACTCCAGCCCCAGATAATTCGAAATTGTATGAAATTGTTATGTACGTAACGGTTTGTACACTCCACTGCCAAACTGAACGCCCATACTCCTGAGCATCGCGCCGCGTTAATCACCGCATCGTTTGTCGAGGTTCAAAGATACTCCCTCAGCGACCAACACTACACGATGTAAACTAGATGGATGATCTTAGACCGCAACTGAACCAGCTCGCAAGGTGCAGCTAACCACTTCCAGCTGGCGTGCCAACAACAGTCCGAAGTACACAGGTACGATGCGACGGTACAACAGGATGACTTTGTGATGGAACATAGGCTGTCGCCTAACCTATCGTTATGATAGCTCTGTGGAGAGCATTACTTAGGCCTGTGAGCTGGTCAGGAGGAGGCGCCTGATGTAGGCTCTCAAAATTCCTAAATCATGCATTTTACGCCACGCGCCAACCACTTCCCCACAAAATACCAGGTGACCCTAGAGCTTCACTAACAGCCGTGAGTTGGCTCCGAGGCGGCGGAGACTCTGCTCCAACTGGCGACCGATCAGAGCCGTCCGCCGTTCGTGTCTCGTCCGTTCATCCCTCAGTAGGGCACAGCCGGCGCGAGGGCCGGGTCAGGCGCCGCCCGCCGTCCGGGCGGCACGCTCCAGTCCGTGCGGGAGACGCGGGCCGAGCCGACGCCACCTGGTCCGGATCCTGTCTGTGCCCCCGAACAGCAGGCTTGGTGACGAGGCATTCGAGACCATGCCGTCAGCACCAGCCTGTGCAGCCAGCCGGGACCAGCCGGAGTACGGAGCACAACGGCTGCATTGCCTGGCACGAGCCGGTACAAACAATGGTCGGCTACGGTGAGGTGTGAAACTGAATACAGCGAGTGGCGGGGCGGCGTTCTGCGGCACGAGCCAGCCGCCAGTAATCGGAGCGGCGCGCTCACGCCGGATGGTTCCGTGACCAGGCAGCGCGCTCGGGCTCCGGTCGCCCCCCCCCCCCCCCCGCAGCGGCCGCCCACTCTGCCGGAACGAGGGTCCATCCGCGACTCAACTAGTCGAAGCCCTTCACTAAGTGTGGCTCTCAAATCCACAACAGAGTGTGACCGTATTCCTCCCTTTGGCGCCTGGTGGCTGCTTTGGCGCCAGGGCCGCTGAGGTTTTCTATCGCTACTGCAGCCGGCCCAGCGGTGCCGGAGCGGTCTGTCCAGACCTCAGCGTGCTAGTACGGTCGTTGACGCCCTGATATCACTAGTCAGCAACTTGGCGGAGTCCCTAATGATCACCGTGGATTCTGAGTGTGGCGTGCTGCATTCTCACCCAGACAGCACCAGCTTAGTGCGTCAGCCTCCCACTTCAGCGCCAACAGCCTCCTGAGACTGTTGCTGCTCCACAACTGTCGGCCCGCTGGCAAGTGGCCGTCGCAGCCTGCCCACCAGTTCTGCGACATCTCGGCCCGTTGGTTTCGCGCCCGACACCGCAGCCCGATGACAGCTAGTGGGCGTCCGTTTGCGTTCGGAGCCGCCCCAGCGGCGCTCGTCTCGGTCGCGGAACGGGCCCGGCCCGAAATAGTGGCGCCGCATCAGGACAGGCGGCGGCCCGTTGGCCCCCGTCCCTCTGACGGCCGGACGTCTCTGGCACGGACGCGGCTCGGCGCTGACGCCGTGTCGTGTTCTGTCAGCCGGGCCGCGAGCGCACGACACGACAGCGCCCGGGCGCCACCGGCACGGATCGTCACCCAGCGGCGCCGTGCGACCCGGCACGGCACGCCACGGCACGGCACGGCACGGCACGGCTGCTGACCTCATCCGGTGACACCACCGCCGCGGACCCCGCCTCGTCACCGGACCCGAAACACAAGCCGGCGCGCGTCTGTGAGAGCAAGGCATCACAGTGCCCGTGCCCCGGGTAATAGTCGTCTCGGCACGACAAAACTATGGCGGAGAACATTTTGCACATCCATCGGCCCGTCCTAGGCAGCCGTGTCCCGGTTCGGTCGGTGGCGTGGGCGGGTGACACCTCACCGCCTCTGGAATCAACAGCGGCGCCACGCTGGCAGCCGGCCCCGGCCCCTCCGCCGGAGCGCCGGCGGACCGCGCGCTTGAGCGGGGGGCAGCGGCCTCCGACGTCACGGGCCGACACGTGCGGCCCGGCCGTCGCGGGAGCAAACCATCCCCGCCCGCGGCTGGCGGCACACGCGGGTCGACGCCGGCCAGTGGCGGAGGAGCCCAGCGTCGACACTAGGTCGGCGGCCTCCGCGGCGTGGCCGCATGCGCGCCGCTCCTGTGACAGGCCCCGGCGGCCGCCGCTGGCCGTCGTCCAGCGGCCTGGTCACAGCAGGCGCGGCCTCGTGAAGTCGGTCGGGATCGGACGCGGCGGTCGGACGCTCGGCCGGTACCTCGCTCCATTGCCGCTTAGTTCGGTAGTTGATCTACGCACGCATCAGCTGGGACGAGGCGACGCCACTTCCCGTCCAACGCGCGGCTGGCGAAAGCTACCTGCGGAGGGAGTCGAACCTGCGCCTCTCACTCCACCAGCTGACGCCCCCATCACTCGGCCGCTCAGGTCCACAGCCCAGTGAGCAGAGACGCCTGCGGCACCGGTAAAAAGTGCCCCGCCCGCGCCTTGGCATGGTGAAACGGTGCGAAGTCTGGCGATCCTCCATGCCGCCCTCTCGCATGAAAAACTCCTGTCGAGGAAGCCCGTACACGGTTTGGCCTTCGGCTTGGCTCCAGCCGTCAGCGCACAGCATCAGCGAACCGTTCGAGGCGCTCTTAGAAGAGGCTGGCTCGCTTGTCAAACACGAGCCCGGGCGGATTATTTTCAGACCCTTTGATGTGTTTCTTTGAACGCGGGGCATACACACAGAGATGAGATAAAACGAGTGAGAACACTCATGTTTCCTTCCGACTGCTGCACGCACATCGGTTTACGCAGCCTTCCCTGAATGACGGGGGGGGGGGAGTCTCGATCCACGTCGAGCCCGCAGTGTTCAGCTGGCCTAGTGACCGACATCTCCAGACCGAGAGGGGGAGGGCAGTTGGCCGGCCGGCGCACGTCAAATAGCGGGTGAACGGCCAGCCGGCAGCGGGAGAACAGACGGGGCGGCGGCGCCGGCACCAGGCCCACCTTGTACGGCGCCAGCCAGCGATGGTAGTCGACGGGCGGGTAGGGCGGCGGCCAGCAGTCCAGCGGACCCGAGTAGCTGTAGCGGTGGTCGATGGGCGGCGGCGGCGGCGGCGGCGGCGCGTGGTGGCCGCACGGCCGGCCGTGGTAGCCGTGGCAGCAGGGCGGCGCCCAGTCGTCCTCGGCGCTGTCGGCCGGCTCGCAGCACGGACATGGGCCGCACGGGTCCGCCCAGCGCCGCTCCAGGCTGCGCTCGCGGCTCTTGCTGCGCCGGAACTTCTCGCGCCGGCCCAGCAGGTCGCGCTGCCGGCCGCGTTGGCCCAGCCGGCGCATCGGCTCCGCCTCCTCGGGCACCGGCGGCGGCGGCTGCGGCGTCTTGCTGCGTCGCTCCGGCGTCGGCGCCCGGCTGGTCGGCAGGCTGTAGTAGCTGGGTGGCGGCAGCGGCGCCGGAGGCCGGTAGTAAAACAGCGGCGACCGGTGCGCGTAGTAGGCGGCCCAAGAGTGCTCGGCATGCTCCGGC